ACCAAATAAATAAATTAAAAAAGAAAAACCAATAACACAAGATCCTATCTACCCAAAAAACATTTGTGGCCATACAATCCTTGCTTGACATTTTCCATGATGATAGGGCTTATGAATGGACCCCTTGAATATTCTTTGACACGTTATTGATTGCCAGACGTTTTCGGAATCTTGGAGGAACCAAAATGTTAATGGTAACGACATTTCAATTCTGTTCAAAGAAAAAGGGTGTCGTAGTGACGACGGATCTTTCTGGCGTCCAAAAAAGAACAAAGGCATGTACCAAAAAAAAAGAAGAACAAAGGCAACTTGTTGAATCGCAGCTCCCCAGGGAATGGCTCTGAGGTCCCTAAGCGTTGATTGGAAGAAAGAGGAGTGCTAGGGGCACTCGCCTTCTGCACTCTCCGGCCAACACTTTAACTTTTATTGGGCCACGTTATCTGGTCGGTAAGAGGTTGCACTTCAAAGTCTGAAACAAGCTTACGTGGCCCAATGCAAGGGGAAGTGTTGGCCGGAGAGTGCAAGAGGCGAGTGACCCTAGTACTGCTCTTGGAAGAAAATATCTGCCGGTCCACGCCTCTGGGTAACTTTTCACGGGGCCCGTCCGATTGTCCGTATTCTTCATTTTCCACAATGTTTCTGTCCGGCATGCACCTTTTATCTTCTATTTACCATCAGTCAAGGTTTTTAAAACCGGACAGATCGGTCAGTTGAATCGGTCAGACCGATATCCGATGATGAAAATGGTTTAATTTACATAAAAAAATCATTTTATGTCAAAATCGATCAAAAGCTGATCAAAACCGATCAAAACCGATAAAACCGATGAAACCGATGGAACCAGAAAAACTATCAATTCAATTTCTCATGCAATCTTCTTTTATTTTTTCCAATTTCACCCTCCTCATTCCTTTCTTATACCCATTTTAACCTTTAATTTTAACAAAATTACAAAATTATCATATACCAAATTAGAAAATCCCACCTGCACCCTTGTTGTTTGGACCAATTGGTTCATCAGTTAAATCAATTAAATCGATTAAACTAAACCTAAAAATGGTTCAATAACCAATTCGGTTTTAAAAACTATGAATATATTATTTTTATATTTATTACTTATTTATTTTTTTAGAATTTAAATATAATATTTATACAAACAAATAAAGTGCTTGTAAATAACTACTATACCTATACTCATGCTTACCTCTACCATACTTCCATGGTCCATGTATTGATGAGATAGATATTTTAGGGCGATAGTTGCATTGGGCTAGGTAGGCCCGACGGTCTAGTATTATGCTTGTTGGGCAAAATACAGTTACGTAATAAGTACAATGTTACATTACGCGTTGACGATTCAACTGGGTTTTGTACATTTCACTTTAAAAAAATCTGGGCTTTGTACAAGTATGTACGCTGAGAGCCTGATTGCTTTGATAAATAAATTTATGTTAAATCCTTAATTTGGTCCATGAATTATTATATAGACCCTTGATTTGGTTTTTAAACTAAAAAAATTTCTAATTTGATCTCTAAACTATTGTACGGATCCCTGATTTGGTCTCTAATACTTATCAATTTGCCTTAAGTTGGTCTTTTTATACAAAAACAACTGACGTGTCTTATTATCAACGTAATACATGGTCGTTAAGTTACTATTTTCTATTGTTAAGTTATTATTTTTTGTCGTTAAATACTAGACACGTCAATTATTTTTTTGTATGAAAGAACTAATTTGAGGTAAATTGATAAACAGTAAATACCAAATTAGGGGTCTGGATAATAATTTAGGGATCAAGTTGAAATTTTAACCATAAATTTATTTATTGTCCCAAGAAAAAGTTAATTTATTTTTTATTTTTAAAAGGAAAACTTTTTTTGCCAATATCGATTGTCAAATCTATCCTCGTTCAATTCATTCGCTGTCTTAATTGCTAGGAGCTTGAAGGGCTGTTTGGCACTTGGAAACTTTTTTTTCCCTTTTTAATGATATATTTTACTATTTTTATGCATCAATACTATAACAATTCAAGGGTAAATTTGACATAGAGTTTAATTTTTCCTCAAATAATACTAATAAGTAAATTTTTCTTCCAACTCTTCTAAATAGAAACACTTTCTCCTCTACTTTTTCATTGTAAGAACTACTGTGACATTTTTTTTTTTCAACTTTTTGAATAAACTTCTTGGCTAACATGAAAAGGTTAACAAAAATAATAAAACTTCAACCAAATTTCATTATAAAATTGACTAACTTTTCAATTATTTTCTTAGAAAAATTATTTTCAATAAAATTAGACTTTAACTTAACACATGGAGGTTATAAGTTTTAAATGGATTTGAGAAAACAGAGTACTCAATTTTGGAGTGGTTTTTGAGATTGAAACCTTACAATTAAAAAACTAATAATAAAAAAAATCGTAACTTAATTGATAGATGATGTAAGATTTGTTTTTTACGTTATTAACTAATATTTGATTTTTTTATTAGATTAATAA